TTGGGGACCTACATCATCGGGCAAATAATATCGGCGAAATAATTTAATGACAATTACTAGAAAAAAAGGTACAAATATTTAAATTTTCAAGTTCAAGGTTATACAAATGAATTCTCCTTTGAGAATTATGGACAATTAAATTGGTGATGATATATTTAAAGATTTATCTGAGATTATTACTTTATGAGTATACTCTTTTGGCTCTAACTAATCTCACAAAGGTACCATAAATTTTAATTATAGGTGATTAATATTTTTTGTACAGCTAGTCAAAAACTTTGAATTTTTTATTAGTCACGTGATCATTTTTACAATCCAATTGTCCGATAGGACGACTAAAGGACTTTTTATCAGTTAACAGCAACAACCATAAACTTCATTTGTAAATCAAAATATTTAGAGTTTTAGACATTTTTACTCTTGTTACAATTACTTAATATCGCGACTGTATATATCTGTATACTTGAGGAAATATGAAAAACATGGCAAAAATATTCAAACTACTTAATAAGCTTCTTAAATGTTGATTTTTTTTCTATTATTGGCATAAGTAAATTGTTTATTTGGGTAAATGATAAATCAACTGAGTTCATGTTCAATTGTTCACATTGTTGTTCAATCAAAGAGTAATTTTTGGCTATATCACTTTTCCAAAAAATATAGCCTGTAAAAACAGCAAACAAGTTTGACCAATTTTTTTGTCAACCCAACTGCAAAACATTTATTATACATCATTATACTTTTTAGGAATGAAAAATATCTCACAAAGTTCCGTTATTCCACATGAAAAGAATGTTTTTAACAACAGACGTCATCAAATGCAAACTACAGATGGAAGGAGGACAAATCCCAACCTGTAGCTGAGTAGAAGAAAGAAAAGGAAAAAGAAATGACACAAGCAAATCACTGCAAAATTATTCCAGAATATTTCATAAATGGTTTACGGAGAGATTTTAGACTTGGAAGAGTATTATCACATCAGGTATTATCTTATGCAGCATACATTTACGCTCCTTGAGTTATGTACAAATATATTCTATTTGGTTCAGGGAAAACTGGTTCATATTATTCTTCTGTATTATAAAGTGTGAAAAAAGTTGCCTAATTGTTGCTTTTACTTATTAGTTAATCGCTTGAAGCATGAAGCCTCTTTAATTGCAGTTTTCGAAAAACTTCTAACAGAAAAGAAATGAAGAAAATATGAGAGACAAATGACTATAACAAAACTTTTGATATAAGGGATGAATAAAAATTTGTTCAAATAACTGCATTTGATCTACTGGAAAAATACAGCAAATATATATTGTACAACTTTTGCATATATTTTATTACACTTGTATTATAGACAAAATAGCTATGCCATTTACAAACCACTTAAGAAAACACAAACACATTACCTTTTGGCCAAGTTATAATTCAATCAGCTTTCATAAAAGGCAAGGATTATGTCTAGTGGACTTTGTCACATCCTCTCACTAAACATAAACATGAACTAGAGCATTAGCCAACTGCAAACTAATGCTTGGATATCATCAACTAACCAAAGAGTATATAAAGTCTTGTAATTTCATTCTAATCATCTACATCTATCTCCATCTCTATCTCCATTTCTAACTCCACCTCTTAACCTGAAAAGATCATCTGAAACAAGCTGAATATTCTAGCATAGTGAAATTGCTAGAATTGGACTAAACAGTGATCTTCTGGAATATATTGAGAAAATTATTATGGAAACCAAATAACTGGTCAGTTTTTGGTTTGTCTATTAGGACCAATAATGATTGTGAAGGATGGTATCAAAGAATGAACAGTAAGCTACCTGCTAAAGGGTCTTTTTACATGCTGGTTCATGAGCTAAAAAAAGAGTCTGAGTTGATTGCAGTTTATGAGAAATTACTGTCAGAAAAAAGGATTTACAAACATCAAAAGAAAAAGTATATTGACATCCAAAAGAAAATTTTTGATTTATGGGATGATTTCAAGTTGAACAAATTGACATCAATAGACAAGAGAAATCTTATTGTGATTCAAAAAAAGAATCCTTTTTATACTGCTAGACAAGCTTATAGCCAATGGGCCATAGCAGATAAGGTGAGTTTATCTTCTGCTAAGAATATATTATTCAATAATGGATTAAAAAGCTATGTGGCAAAGTAAAACCTTTGACAAAATTGGGGCATCGAAAAAAGAGAATTCTCTTTGCCAAAAAAACACTTAAAAAAGAAGAGAATGAGCTTAATAGTTACATTTTTTTCGGATGAAACAACATTTGACCTGTTTCCTAAACAGAAAGTCAGAGTCAGATGTAAATGGGAGGATAAAGACAAGCCAAGAAACACCAGGATCAGTTTTAAGACCCAAGACTGTAAGCTGATGGTCTGGGTAGCCATCAAATATGATTGTCCCAGAGCTCTGGCATATTGCTCTGAATCAATGGACTCAGAGAAATATATCTTAACTTTAAAAGAGCATATACTTCCTATTTATAAGATGGAGGACATCTTCCAACAGGATGGAGCACGATACCACACCTACAAAATATCTAAATCTTTTTTAAGGTGAAACAAGATAATGTATCTATAAGACTGGCCTGCCCAGAGTCCAGACTTGAATATTATTGAGAATCTCTGGGCAGTGCTCAAACAGAGAGTTTAAAAAAAATTGCAAAAACTCTGGAGGATTTGAAAGCTATCATAGAAGAGGAATATTTTTTGATTTCTGAAGACTATATAAAACATTTATATAGCTCCATAAATAAGAGATGCCGTCTTGTCATCCAAAATAAAGGGTATGGGATAAATTATTAAGTGAAGTTGAAATTTTTACATTATTTGAAATACCTGCCAGAAATTTGACCTCCTCCATTTTTGCAAAAATTTGTCAATAAAAATTACTGGAAAGTAAAAAAAAATGCTTAAATGAATTTTATCTTTAAATTCAGTTGTATAAATGTCTTATCCTTCATTCTAAACAAAAAAAAATAACTAAGCAAGTCCTTTGAGGTAAATATTTCCCTTTTTCCACTTTAAGGACAACCCTGCCCAAGATTTTTTATTGGGACTGTATAAATGAACTATTATTTTGTTGTTAAGTGGGTCTGAGCTAAAGGCTAGGGAAAGTAAAGTGAAGTAGATAAGGGCTAGGGCTGGGTTTGTGGTTAGGGTAAAAACTTCAAATTCATCCATGTTTTCTGTTGTATTCCATCAATGATTTAATTTGTTAAAGAATTTATAGCCAAAATTGAAAACAGCTGACCTATGGAACGAAACTGCTTTTTTACCAATAAACTTAATGATAAGAGGTAAATGTTTATTCAACCATAAGAATGAAAAGTAAACTTTTTAAAGAGATTGAGAGTTCAGATATCTAATTTACAAAAATGGCATAGAGGAAGAAAATAGAAGTATATTTATAACATTTCAATTGGGACAGTTTCCCATACAAGTACGAATAACACAAATGCATACTGGGAAAAATTACCTAATTGGAATGGAAACGTTTTATCCTATAATTATACTTCCGGTTCAATATCCAGATGTTTTGGAAATGTTCCGAAAAATGCTGCGAGCTTTCTTTCAGGGACAGCTGCTTCTATTGGCACAGACAATATTTGCCAGAGTAATATGACACATTTACTTGTTTGTTTTAAATGTACAAATTGACACTTCCTCTAGTATCTACAACTTACTTACAATAGTTAAAAGATCAAAAGGTGAGATAAACCATAGATTCCTGGATGTTGAATTTGAAAAATTTATGAATCACCCGCATTATCAACATCTAATGGTCCAAATTGAATTAACGAAAGTTGCTTTGCCGATGCTTGCAATCCTTTAAACATAGATTTAAATTCTTTTGAAAAGAAATGATCACTAGCTATAGTAACTTTTTGTAATGATTTACATTCTCCCAAGAAAATGGATAAATTCTTACTTTGATCTTCGTTAAAAGCGCAATTATATCAATATTTTTATATTAAAGATCAATATTTAAAAGGGAATACGAAGATGATATTAAGCCTTTACATATTTTTTGAAAACCTTTTTGTAACTCATACATTCTGTGAGTAAATCACTTTTTTGAAGAGATCCTGTAGATAATTCCAGTAAATTAATAGCACTTGTGAATAATTTAATATTTCGAAAGAGTTCTATATGAACAGATTTTAGGTGACATTTGTCCAGTATAAACTGCTAAATTTTCTAAACTACGATTGGCTATTTTGTTGCAAAAGCACCAGTAGGTCACGGACACTGCATTTGTAGTTGGAAAACGTTTTTGTACTTGTCTCCAGGCAACAGTAAGACATTGTAAACAAACAGAAAAATACAGGGGCTGTTACTAATAGTTACGAGAGATTACATCCTTGCAGCTTTGTAGTTTAATATTAGCGAGTTTAACAAGGGTTTTATGTTTAATTTATACCAAAAATTTCAAGAGACAAAGTTAGAAATTAAGGGGAAAAATTTTTTGGATGAAATACGCAGGGATGCGGCAGAAAATGTCCACAAAATGATGCTTTTACCCTAACCCTCAGTCTAGATGCTCCCAAGTACAAAGCAGCAGTTGTCTTAGCTGTTGTGTTCTGGGATAGTCAAGGTATCATTTACCTAGAGTATACTGAACCAAAAGTTAGTTTTTAACTCTGAAATTTATATGGAGATATTAAAAAGACTGAAGGATAGGTTGAAAAGAGTAAGACCGGGAAAAGATGTGTAGATTGACAATGCAAGATGTCGCACTGCAAAAAAAAACGAGGTCAACAGAAAATGTCTACTGATGAAACTTTCAAAGCTAGATTAGGGTTAGGTAAAAGTATACTTTTGAGGACGTTTTCTTTCACATCCAAAAAGTTTATATTGTCTATTATAAATTGAAAAATAATTGAACAAGTGAGACTACAAAATCGATAATCTATCATATTTAGGACAAAATTTAAAATTTGTTCATTTCTATAAAGATTATTTGTTTTAAAAACATTCAATGCAAAGATATTTTACAAGCCTATTTTAGCAAATTAAAACTGTTTGACTATATTAAAATATTTTACTGTTCTTCTCTTGTCAATTAAACTTGACCAAGAGTAGTTTAGATCAAACTGCGCTTACCGAAGATCATCCAAAGGTAGTTTTTTTTAGTTTTACTTAATGAATTATCTTTATGATTATTGAATAGTTTCAATTATATTCAATTTTGCGATTGAACTATGGACGACTCTAAACCAAACATTCAAGGAAAAAAAGATGAGAAAGCTGTATTTGGTCAGGAATACGGAATATATAAGATTTCTTCCAAAGGAGGTATGCCTTGTAATCAATCTCCATATCCTTATCCTCAACCAGTGTTAGCTCAACCTTTGTCAACAACTATGAATAATCAGATTTATGGGCAGCAGCCTAATCATTTGATAACTCATAAACCACCGGTTCGTGATACAATGGTAAATTAGAAATAACAGAAAAAACGTATTATTTATCAAAATCTATTTTGCAGATATTGAGCATTTGTTCTATGCTATTCTGTATCTGTATTGGTTTAGCATCATTGGTTAAGAGTATACAGAGTAGAAAAGCAAGAGATAGAGGTCGAGTTGATGAAGCAAATAAAAAGGCATTATGCGCTAGAAAATTTGCATTTGCAGCCATAATTACAGGCTTATGCTTTGCTTTTGTTAGCATTGTAACAAGAATAATTCTAACAATTATGGCAGTTCAATAATTGTTTGTTTTTTGTTCAAAATACTTGAAAGATTTTTCTCAGAAGATGTAAATTCTCCAAAGTTAATAAAAGCAAACTGCTAGTTAATACATAATTTTGAATTTTTACTCTTTAGGTTAGAAATTAACAATGCTAGGAAGACAATAAAAAATCATTTGTTTCAATTTTGATATCTAGGGGGACAAAAAAAACAATATAACAGACTAAATCTCTTCACTAAGATATCTCTGCAGAGAGCTCCTTTTCGTACATTTTAAAGCGGAGAGTTATAAGGACAAGTGTATTTGAATTGCTAAGGGTTTGAAGTCTGTTTGTAGGTTTGTCCATTCTGAGAGAGGGTATTGTTTTTGTTTTTAAATCCAGGCACAAAGACAAATAATGAGATTTTGCTATTTATGTTTAAAAAAGAAGTAAGAATAAGAGAAATAATTTCCATTGATTATATAATTCCGAGTTCAATTTATCCGCTTTTTAATGCATGGAAATAAGAGACCAGGACACAAATAATTGGTAAATTAACAAAAAAGCATGATTGTCAATTGTTAAAGATTCTTCAATCCCATAATAATTTTGATAAATTATTTCTATTAAAATCTATCTATAAATTCTTTTTGCGGATTATTAATTGATCATTAAACGGATTAAACAGAGAGAAAGAGAGAGAGAGAGAGAGAGATAAAGTTTATATCAAATATTCTTTATCATCATCGAAAAAAAAATTGCAGTCTCAAAACATGTACAGCAGTGGTTTTCCAATTTTTTTAATCCTTTTTGAATTTGCAAGTATAATTTTTAAAAATATTTTAAATTACTTTAACGTACAAAAAAGATTGATAAATAAACTTTTTAAGCGTCTTGTTCAACGGATGGTGACTGTTTAACGAATGGTCAATGTATGAATAGGACGTGTTACTGTAAATTTCCATTCAACAATGACCTCTGCAGTATGGGTATGATCTGTTATCAATGATTTTGTTATCATTATAATACGTAATTGATAATATTTGATATCAGGTTCTAAATACGCCTATATCGAAGGAATATTGAGCAATGGACTTGTCATTGGAGTGCATAACCTTTCGTCTGCTTTAGACTGCATTAAACAATGCGAAGACATGTTGAGCTGTGAAACAGTTGGCTTAGGGGTTTACACTAATAATAATAGTTCTTTCTATTGTTCTCTTATCTCTGATACAACGTATCCCATACAATCTTTTCAAAATAATTCCATTTTGAAAGAACATTACACAATTATTTTTAGAGGTTAATTGAAATATTAAAATTATTAAAAATTTCTCAAAAAAATCAATGCAAACAATTTTAGATTTTGAATTATCCGTGTGCGGTAATGGAAATTCTATAGTTGAACATACTCAATACTGCATTGAATTTTTATGGAACACTACAACGGGATGTCCAATTAGTGGTTATGGATTTATTAAAAATCTGGAAGGATGGATGAAAGAGAATAGTACTTACAACTTAAAAAATCACATCAGAACGATTACATCACTTAGTTTGTCGTCGAATAAGTTAAATGTCAACAGTAAGAAAGAGTCGTATAGAAGTTTATGTTACGGTCACTTATCTGTAGGAAGATATAACGTTGCGCTAAATAAGCAAGTTATCTATTATTTTGATATTATCTCACCGCAATTTGTCCATCATCAGCAACATTTGGTTGATGGAGTTAAAAATTCAAACACAAGTTTTGGAGGTTGTACAATATCAATGACTGTATCGTATGGATATTCTTTTTGGGTAGGAGTCGATTTAGGAAATGAATTTACAATTGGAAAAGTTGTCATCTACTTATCAAACAATCAAAGTAAGAAATATATACACGTTTTTTGAAATTTTGAATTATTTTTTTGTTCTAGACCAAAATCAATTTTTCGATATAATTTCCATGAAATCCTATCCTCCACACCACATGTTTACTCCGGGACACGAACACGAGTATTGCGCTAAAAATGTACAAATGTTTTCTTCAACTAATAAATTGATTGTAGTTTGTCAACCTCATACGCTATCGGGACGTTACGTTGTTTTACAATCTGACTCGACCGATAGATTTGAAATTTGTGAATTGGAATTATATACATGTGAGTAGGGCAAGTAATATATTGAATTTAACTATTAAAAATTTTACCTCGATTAAGCTAATCTCGCTCTGTATGGGGAGACTTTAAGTTCGAGTGTTAAAGATGGTAATTCGTACGGTGGTTTTGGTGTTAATGAAAATGCTTTCGGTAATAGTTTTCAATCTATACAAGGACTTGAATCGTGGATTGCAGTATATTTAAGAAGTAACTATAAAGTATACGGTCTAGATTTGAGCGAAGCAAAATTTTGGGAATTGGAAGTTTACGTCATTAAGAGAAATTTCTTTATAAATCAAACCTTAGAGGAAAATGAGAAAAGTTACTCAATTGTCACTTCTAGCCAGTATATGAAAAATTATTTTCATGTTGCTTGTACGAATATTTTGTCAGGATCGTTCGTTTTATTAAAATCACCGAATGCGTTGTTGTTTAAAAATCTTGAGATATTTGGTTTATTTACAAGTAAAAATAGTAAGGAGAATAATTTTTTCGCGTGATCTCTGTAATAAATATATTATACAAACAACATAGAATTTGAGAATATAGCGTATGGTAAACCAATATGGACGCTCGAAGTTCAAGGTAACAAATATGCTTATTTTGCAACGGATGGCTTTAGTGGACAATCTTACGCTATGACCAGCGAAGATCAATATATGGTTGTTGATCTATTAGAAATCTTTCACATTCATCAAATAGGAATACAAATGAGATCTTCGAACGAAGGTTGTAAATTTAGAATCGACAAAATCAAAATGTAATTGATTGATTAAATGTGTTTTAAAAATGTCTTTAGTAACAGAGATCAACAGATATTTTAACCATTTTAAGATTTATGAAAAGAGAATACAAATCAAAATCAATGGAAATATTAATAGTTCAGATTGTGAAGAAATAAACAATATAAATAACAATGAATATGGAAAAACAATAATTTGGAATTGCAGTTTAAAAGTTAATATTGGTAGATTCATTTTGATAAAAAATTCACAAATGAAAATTATTGAATTACAAGAATTGTACGTCTTCGGAAAACTCTTTCAATCTAATGTTTTACCTTCAAGTAAACTAGTTGAAGCTTTCTTTGATGAAGACATTGAATGGAATATCTATGAGCAAGATAAATCTCCCCTAAAAGCTATTGATGGAGATTTTGGTTTTAGCTCTTGCACAACACTAAAATCAATTAGGGAAGATGAGTTAATAATAAAAATGAAAAAAAAATACTTGGTAACCCAAATTCTAATTCAGCCGAGGCATGATAATATTAACGGTTAAAATATATATATATTCTCAATTAATACGAAGACTATATACGATTTTTTTTGTCTTCCATAGATATTATGAATCTAACAATTTCAGTTGGAAAAAAATCACTAAGATATTTTTGCGGTAAATTTTCTTCTACAGAACGTATTAATTATCCAATTGAAATTAACTGCGAATCTCCAATATATGGAAATTATATACTGATCACACCAACGTATTCCGATAAAGATATAGATATATGCGAAGTGAAAGTATTTCACTTAAAAGGTAAAGGAATCGCTTAGAGTCTAATTTAATATTAATTTTCTTTCTTTCAACTTTTCAGATGACAAAGAATTAATGAATTGTTCGTCAATGTTGAAAATATATCCTAATTTTGAGTTGTCAAATTCATACGAATGCGCAATTTACAAATCGAACCAATCAATGCACGAATGCCTGCACTCATTCATAAATTCCTTATATAAATCATTTATATACAATTTTCAGAGTAAAACTTGTTGCATAGTAAATTTCGTGATATCCGTGAAAGATTTTATATATTTGAAGAGTTCAATTGTTGGAAAAAATATTTGTATTGTTAAAAATTCAACTTGTTGAAAACTGCTGATGAACACAAATCTTCCTCAAAAAAGTCAAGAGTGAATTTTTTACTTGTCTCTATTTATTCTAGCTGTTTTTATCTCAAAATATAAATAAATTAACTCTTCAAAAGGTCATTTTCTATTTTATAAAACTTTCTTAACAAATATCTAGAGAATTTTTAAACAAAGATAATGACAATGGAAAACCGGAAATAGGAAAAATTAATGAAATTAAAAATGGTTGTCTTTTAAAAATCAGGCATATTTGCGACATTTTTTGCGAAAATTGCTATCAAATAAAACATATAGACTTATCAGGTTATGACAATAACGTTTGCAATGGAAATAAACAATCAAGTGACTACTTAGAAAATGTCTTAGTTAGCAATTGTAATTTCAATGAAGAACAAGAGATAAATTTTGGCAAATTTATTGGTCACGTGTTCTAAAATTAGGCTTTTATATTTTAATGGTAATCCATATATGAAAATTGGATTTTCAAAAATTGACGAAACGATAATATTTATGAATATTATAAGCAAAATATTTTTGATCATTTTCATCAATTTTTTCTTTATTTGGCCTCACTTCATAATTATTGGAACAGTCACTTGACATCTGGTATGGCATTCAAATAGACATTTTTGTCAACATCTTTGATTTTCTAAGTTATCTTTATCAATTAATTGTTAATTTCATTTATATTACTCTATTTTTATTGTACATTTTAAATATGACGTGGAGTAAAGACATTAGGGAGCTTGTATTGAAGAAATACAATGATTTACAAAAACTATGAGCCACAGCAAGAGCTTTAGGAATGGCACCCTCTTAGACAAACACCTGTCTTACAACAAATAATTGTAAGAGGAGAAAAGTTTCTGTCTTCAGATGATCAGTGATAATCTAGACTGGTTTAAAGTAATTTTCACTGACAAGGCTAGATTCTCACTGAGTGGGCCAGATGATTTTTGTACCTGGACCAAAGATGGCAAAAAAGATTTCAGAGTGACAAAAAATATGGGCAGAGGTGGAGTAATGGTCTGGGGACTGATAACATATGATGGAATATTTGAATTCTGGTGGATAAGGAAAAGGCTTAATGCTGAAAATTACAGCTGTTTTATTGTGGAGGATATCCTCTGTGTTATCGAAGAGATTGAGGCAAAAATGGGGAGGAAATACATCTTCCAGCAACATAATGCTGTGTGCCACATGGCAATGATGACTAAAAGAGCCTTTCAAATGAATGATATCCATCCTCTTGATTGGCCAGCAAAGAGTCCTGACCTCATCCCAATTGAGAACATTATAGTGGTGGAACTTTAGAAAGACTTTTATTTCGTAGAGTTAGCTTTTAGTACTTTAGAAAGAACTCTATTTCATAAGAAATAGACTCTTTGACCGTAACAGATGGTGGCTAACTCGGCAATTAACAATACAATTACAATACAACAATGTGCAGACATAGAATCAGAATATCAACATCTTCCAATAAAGAGGAAAGTAATGATGATTTAACTTATGATCCAGAAATGAAAGAAGGATTCAAATTTTCATTAAAACAGATAGAATCAGTGAAGATAACATGCAATTCACTCAAAAAAGCAAATTTGTAAGATTAATAAACTTATCACAATATACAAGTCAATAAAAAGGTTAATCATAGAGAGATGTTGAAATGTCAACCTGCTAGTATTGCTGTTCAAAAAAACTTGTTTGGAAAGATATAAGCTCAAGTCTTGTTTCAATAAGAAGATTATCTTTTAGTATATTTAGTTGGCAAATCATTCAACCAAAAATTTTGTTCCTTTGTTAAATAACAAAAGGATAAATCAATATTTAATAGAGTAGCGAATGATGATTTTAATCCATGACATATTTTCTCAAATCCATTTTCAGTATTGTTATTCCAAGTTAAATTAATAGATTGTAATTGAGTACATTCTATGAGTAAATCACCTAACCAACTACTTTGTTCTTTAGATAAATTGCAACAAGAAAAATTGATTGTCAATAAAGACGATGACGAAGATTTTAATCCTTGACATATTCTTTGAAATTCATTTCCAAACAATTTATTATTACCTAAATCAATTTCTTGCAGTACTTTACAGTTTGATAATAAATCACCTAACCAACTACTTTGTTTATTAGATAAATTACAATCAAAAAAGTTAATTTTCAATAAAGAATGTGATGATGAACTTAGTAATCCAATACATATTTTTTCAAAACCACTATTCAAGGTATTATTAAAACTCAGATCAAAATCTTGTAGTTTAGTGCATTCCTTTAATAAATCACCTAGCCATATACTTTGTTGATCATATATATAACAACAAGAAAAATCTAATATGATCAGAGATGAGGAAGATGATCTTAATCCATAGCATAATTTTTCAAATCCATCTTCTGTATTACCATTATTATTGAAATAAAGCTCTTGTATATTTGTACATTCTAGAAATAAATTACCTAAAATGTTGCTTTCTTTCTCTGATATTTCGCAATCTTCCAAGTGAAATTTTACGAATGACAATGAAGATGATTTCAATGCGTTAAAAATTTTCCCAAAACCATTTAGAAAACTTTCGGTAGGCCTTAAATCAACTTGTTCTAATCTAGTACATTTTCCAAGTAAATCACTTAACCAGATGGCTTGAATTTCTGATAAAAAACACGAATAAAAGTTGACTTTCGACAAAGTCATTGCCGAAGACATTAACCCATTGCAAATGTTCTTGAATCCATTTTTAAAATTTCTATTTAAACTTAAATCAATATCTTGTAAAAATTTACACTTTATCAATAAATTCTCAAGCCATAAACATTGCTGTTCCACTAAATTACACAATGAAAAGTTAATTGTTAACAAACAGGAAGCGGAACTTTCTAATCCTTTGCAAATATTTTCAAATTCACAAGACATTTCTTTTCCACAATTTAAAATGAATGATTTCAAGTATTTACAATTCATTAAGCAATTTCCTAAATGTGAATAATCCTTCTTCTTAAGAGTACAATTCCTTAATTCCAGATTATTCAGATACGGATTCAAGTAAAAATCATACAATGATTGAAATTCATATAAACATAAAATCTCAATTGGATGATTGGTTAAGAAATTCAAATTTTTTATTCCAATAAATTTTTTCTGTTCGACAGAAATCTTTGTTAGTTTAACATTCTGGTTAGAGAAAAATTCCAATTCCTCATCTAAAAATGCTCTATTATCGCTACAACAATATCTAAATATTTCTTCACTGATAACGGATGGTAGACATATGGAATATTTCTTAGATAATTGATTTATTAAGTATAAATTTTTTCTTATAACTGGTAATATCAGATCTGCAAGACAAAAAATAGGCATATTTTAACACATATATACACAAAAAAAAATTCAAGAATAAACAAATAGTGGATACTGCAAATAAATTGGAAATAGATTTAATAATTGCTACAACATCAATCTATAATTTACTTGAATTTTAAAAAAAGTTGATTACTAGTTTTAAAAGATTTTGTAAACAACACAATATAATATTTATAAAAATCTACTAGAGGGCGCTTTTTGGTTTCTTATACATTCTTACATATAAAAGGTTGCATATTTAAAATGCTATACTAAAGTTGTCTCTATTTCCCATATGTGTGTTATCACATTTGAATAGTATCTATGCTAATTTTACTGTCTCAGAATGGCTGAGAAAGGAAGAAGAACAGTTGAGGAAAAAATAAATGAAGTCATTGGAAGAATACAGGAATGGGTTCATATGGTACATGTTGCAAATAGTGGAAAATTATTATCCAGCTATTGTAGAGATGACAAATTTAATAAAAATAGTATTGAAATTGCTTGTTTAGTACACGAAATGAATGATTATAAACTATTTAAAGGTAGTGAAGAAGAGGGTAAACAATATTTAATTAATTATTTGAAAGAATTTGGGTTAAATGATGAATATGCAAATGAGATTGAAGATATTGTTTCTAAAATATCATTCAGATGTGGATTAAATCAAATTAATAAAGATAACTTAAGTTTAGAATGTCAAATTGTACAAGATGCCATTGGAGCTATTGATATTGCTAGAATGTTTGCTTATAGTCGACATCGTAATCGTGGGGTCGACAGAAAATGTCCACAACTGAGAAATTTCAAGACTAGATTTTGGATTGAGAAATGGTTAGGAAGAAGACAGCAACTGATTTTTACTTAGGAGGGTCTCCTCTAAGAGTTAGGGGTAATAGAAAAGGTAAGGTACAGCCAGGGGCTGGGTTAGGGTTAGGGTAAAAGCACTCATTTGTGAACTTTTTCTGTCGCATCCCATAATCGTCTTATCTATCATCCGGATGTACAACGTGTTCAAGCCTACTTAAAGCAATTAAGTTTATAAAGAAATATATCAACAACATTTAGTTTATTAGAATCTAAATCTGAAAAACAAGATTTTTACAAAGAATACTATGAAAAATGAATTCTATATGATATCTTTTTACTCTTTCCAGAAATGAGAGAGAGAGAGAGAGAGAGAGAGAGAGAGAGAGAGGTTAAAACTTTAATAAACATGTATGCTTTAAAATATTGCCAAATACCAAATTTTTGATGTTTACCTACTTTTATTTACAGGCTTACAGGCTTAAGTTTTAGGATGATGATGATAATGAATGCCTGAAATTTTTACAAAGAAAAAACTTTGCCAAATTTTCACGAAATGTCTTTTGAAATAGAAAATATATAAAAAAATTTGTAGAATTATTAACAAGATATATGTGAAAGAGTATAATATTTGTAGGCAAAATACCAGCAATTGAAAATGAAGCTGGAAACCAACTGAGTAGATATATTGTTGTAACACCAAATAGCATAGTTACAGTTCTAATATTCTTACCAAGAATTTTAGAATCTTTTGAAATGTTTCCGTTGTCATTGATCTTGTTTTTTCTTAATTTTAAACTTCTTAAAAGGATAACTCTATAAATTAGACCATAAATTGAATATAATAAAATGGCCGCTCCTATATATAAAATAGAAGTCAGATAGTTATGTAAATCATTTATAGTTCCAGGTTGAGGGAAGCAATTTTTTAAAATAGGACCATTGTGTCTTTTATCAATTCTAATTTGATGAGTTAAAAAATTGATTATACCAGCAGAAAATGCCAATGATCCAATTGACATAAACATCATTTTAATATGTATTTTACAAAGTTTTTTAAGTGGTTTGCATATAACAAACCACCTTTCAATGGCAACAAAAATAAATGTAAACGATGACGTAACTAAAAGAAAATGATAGATAAATTTAGTGATTTTACAAATAAGACTATTTGTAATAAAACCCAATTCCAAAATTATTGAGTATGGACCACAAATTCCACATATTAAAATATCAATAATTGCCATACTTTTTATAAAGATATCATTAGCATTAAATGATGATGATGATGATGACGATGATGATGATAATGATGATGTTTTCTTAGCCTTTTTAAAATTATAAAATAATAAGATAAGAATATTTGAAGGTATTCCAATTAGTATAGAAATTGATACATAAATTATAAATGGTGTAAAATATTTCAAATCTAATTCATCCATTGTTAAAAATGTTTTATTATTCTTCGTCTCCATCATCCTGACAAATACAGGACCATTTGGAGACTAGAGATATTTTCTTTTATATAGTATTGTCTTCCAGCAGTGTACTATACTGACCTTTTATTGTTCTCTCCATTCTTTGATAACCATAACATCACAATAATGATTAATTAATCACTTTATACATTAAAGGTATAATGGAGAAGAAACAATACCTAGAAATAAGAAATAGGGTTATAGTAGTGATGGCTGCTACCAAAGCTATCTTTTAAACAAGGTGAATTATCATTTATTTCAAAGGTCTTTCAATTGTCATCTTCTTCATCCCCACCAAATGCTTTAAGTAAGCATATAAAGACAAAAAACAAAGAATATATTGCAATTTAGCTAAAACAGTTTCTTAGCTATATTTTTATGTGAACTTTATTAATCAGAAAGTCTACCTTCAGATAGCATGTTTTATCTCCATAGAAATTATAATCCAAATCAAAACAGCCTCTAGTAATGCAAAACAAAGAGAATTAAGTAACATTCTAAAAGATGTACAACAAAAAGAGAAAATTCACGAATGATTGAGATTTGTTTTTCATAGAATATACAAAAACCAACATGGCATCCAAAATTAAGCTGACATAAGAGAATGCGATAAAGTCAACATCCGTATCTTTTATGATAGCTAACTGAATTAGAATATTACATTTGCTGACTTTATATACTTTTCCATGAGTTCAATAATTTATAGATATTTACAGAAGTGAAATTTAACCTGAAGGAATTGAAAATCATTAATCTCCCTCTCTGTCCCTCTCTCCCTTTCTCTCCATCTCTGCCTCTCCTCCTCTCACCTTTTCTTCCTCTCTCCTTCTCTCGTTCCGTCCCTCTCTCTCTTTCTGTCTCACTCTGTTTCTACAACTCTGTTTCTACCATCTGATAAAATATAACGAATATATGTGATATTGTAGTTCCTAACTCAGTTAGAAAACTAAGCTAGCTGATTTATACTCAGGGTTTATAATCACAAAGTGTTAGGGTTTGGGTTAGGATAAATTCATCAATTTGTGGGAATTTTCCATCATACCCACATCATTAACATATACTTTTTGTACTTTATTGAATTGTAATTGTAATTCTTCAGAAAGGTATTTGTCCTTTCTAATCACCTGCTATTGCACCCTTTTATCTAAGTTATACTAACGCCCCCTGGTTTATTCAATATTCGTTGACTTTTACTTTTCCAATGCATTCACACGTGTAGGTGATAATAGATTGATTTTGATTGAAATTGAACAAAGCAGATGATCTTATTAATTATTAAATTTCAGTACTATACTGCCATTTGCAGTTTGTGAATAGAGAAGACTAAATTCTAATGAAAGCTTATTGTTGTAATTATTCTCATTAGACTAATAGAACAAAAGAATAAGACAGCTAAAGAAAATAGAGGACTAATATGTTCAGTAAGTAAAAACTCATAAAGACTATAAGACTGAAAGCAAATATTTCTCCCTTGGATGATTTTTGCTTCTAGGAGAATTTTGAAAATGTTTGAATTTTTAACCAAATTAGAAAAGAAACCGTTTGCAGATTAGTTTGGTATGGGTTTGGCAAGTGTATATTTAACAGTTATCTGTTGCTCTGTTCAAGTTGTTGGCTTTCTCTTGAATAGTAATTTGATTATAATCCATTGGATTAATAAGGATTTATTGAAATTGAATCTTTTTGGCATGACAGCATTAACTTTTACTGATATTTGTTATTCAATAACTTTCTTCTTTTTCCTTATTTTTCATGATACAGATATATCTTATTTCAATTGTCTGCTTGTATTTGAATTTATCTTCCTCATAACTTCGATTTCGTCCTTCACCTTGACTCTAATTACGTTTGAAAAGTTTATAGCTATAGTAAAACCTCTAACGTTTTACAAAAATTGGACAACAAAACGAGCTTTTATCTTAATCTCCTCTGTTTGGTTTATCAATTTGACTATTTGCGCACTTCCGGCTCTGGGTTGGAATAACTATGAAACTATTTCAAAGGAGAATGGTACCTTTAAATGTAACACTCTTCAAATATTTCCTTTTTCATACATGTTCTTTTGGTCATTTACCACCGTTGTGCCAAACGCCTTTGGTAGTTTATTCCTTTATATTCCCATTCTAAGAGCGATAAGGAAGCATAGAAGAGCAATTTGCGATCTATCTAGTGATGTGAATTTAGAATCTGGAGGCAGTAGTATTAGAGTTTTAACTAGTCTGCTAATAATCAATTGTATCTTCTGGGCTCTGCCAGCTGCAGTAACTGGCGTTAATTATTTTAGATTGAAAGGAAGCTTTCATTTCCCTGATTATCAGTTTGAATTGCTCACTGACTCATTCATTTCAGTTATTCTTTCGAATGCAACAATAAACGCCCTGGTTCATGGATATACAAAATCATCTGTAAGACTTCAAACCAGACAATTTTACACCAATATTTTAAAAAAGGCTGTATGTAGAAGGGTAGAAGAATCATGATTATAGGCCTAGAAAAATAAGGAAATACAGCAAAATTACAGAATTTTTGTGTTGCAATTTTGACTCTTTTACATTTTTTTTAAAGCTAGCTTCAGAAGTACAAAGGGTTATGATCAGAGTATTAAATTCTATAAGGTTTGTAAGTGATAGATAAACAATACATAATCCTCAAATTGACAATAAATATGATATTTATTTCGGCATTTAAAGAAACTTTATTTCACAAAGTTCAACTGGCTGAATTTTGTGAAAAGTATAAATATAAACACCTTCGCAAAATCGATCTCCGCATGAACATGAATATTTGCATTCGGTTTTGCTTGACAATGATATTTCGCATAGTTTAAACTTTCCGAAAAAAGTCACATCAAATTGAGATTGAAAAGGTACATAAACCAAAATATTCCTTTCCATTTCATTTAAACAATTTAAACTGGTACCACTAATTTCAATATTGAATGGACTGTGTAACTTGCCAACCCCAGGAAATGGAAATCTTATTATATAAGGGTAAAATTTTATATCTATGCAAGTAGAAGTGTCGGAATCCAGTAAAATTGATGATGTTTTATCGTTATAAAGAGATTTTGGAGAGAGTATTTCCGGTTTGGAAGTACACGTTATTTTATCTCCAACTATTGGCTTAAATTGACAATGCTGAGATGTTAAACATGATGATGTACCAATAGTAAATTGTGAACATGTATTGCCATTTGCGCAAATAGTTCTACATTCAAAAAAGTCTTTATTTCCTTCATTTTTATAGTTCTCCTGGCAAAAACCTTGCTGACAAGTTGACGTTACGTAAGCAATTCTATCGTATGATCTCATCTGTGAAGGTAAATGACTGGGAAGAGTTCCTTTAAAAAAGGCTTTTAATTTTTTAAAGCACAATCTATTCGAATATAAAGTATTTACTACTGTAAATCCTTGACAGTTGGAATCTTCAAGACAATATTTAGCACATAATTTTGGGTTTTGAGCTTCTAATTCGTAAATTCTATTTGCTGAATCGAATTTATCGAGAACTCCATTCTTGTAAGTAAATCCTGGAACTGCATACTTTGGCTTATAACATCCGTAATTTTCATCAAAACAATTATAGCTTTCAAATTCGTCAATTGTACATTGGCTTGCAGAGATATTCATTTCACCAACTCTAACTCGTTCACTTACAATAACATCGCATTCGTCATCAAAGTAACCGCAAAAAATATAGTTGACTTTAATAGCCAAAACAAAGAAGAAGCAATTATAAAGAAGCATTTTCTGTTTCACAACAACTTGGAATTATTTGACAAATAATCAAGTTTTGTTAATTTATCAGAATTGTTAGAATCGATTTTGTCCTTTTCAATTATTTACCAATTTGCCAAAGTACTTAAATAAAAGAAAACCTTTCAAGTTCGTCCACAGATAGTCTGAATTTTTAATTATCAACAGTGAATCGTATTGTTTTTTAAATGTAAATTATGAATATCTCTCTCTTTCAAACTAAATATTAACATATTTCTATTGCAATTGTAGGTAATAATTTAAGCATTGTACTGCTTCTGCTGTGCTAAATTATTCTTTGAGAATAAACACACAATGCGACAGAAAACGTGGATGAATTTTTGAATTTTACCCTAACCCTAACCCTAACCCAGCTCTAGCATTTACCTTCTTTACTTTACCTTCCCTTACCCTTAGATGGGTTGCCCTTAAGTAGAAATCAATAGCTGTTTTATTCTTCCTAAGAAGTTTTCAACCCAAAATCTAAGCTTCAAATATATCATTTGGGGATGTTTTCTGTTGACCTCAAAAAAAAACATATAATATAATAACTAAGGAAATTCACCAATTTTCTTTTGGAAAATGTATCACTTACTGAATTTGAATCTTTCTGTTTGAGGCTGATCTTATCCCCATTTATCAACAGATTCTTTCTGAAAGGAAATTAAAGAGGTTACAAAAAAAAATTGGGTGTGTTGGAAAATATTCACAAATTGATGCTTTTACCCTAATACTAACCCAACCCTTGTGATAACCTAACCTCTTCCACGAGCCTAAACCTTCAATGAGAACCTCCTGAGTATTTTCTGTCAATTCATGGACATTTTCTGTCACTTGATTAGAAATTTTAATTCTCACAAGATTAAGCTAATGAGAAAAGTTACATGATATGCTGTGAGAATCAATCATTCAATATGTATATATTTATCATATTATCTTGTCAAAATATCTTTTTTTCAACCTATATTTGCAAAAAAATGTATTTTTATTGTAATGGACATTTTCTGTCAGTTTATGGACGTTTTCTGTCATGAACATTTTCTGTTGACCCCAATATAACATCATCATGTGTAAAAGACAAACAGAACATATCATTTATATACTATATCAACTTTTTTAAATGAACAATAGTTATACTTTGCAATTAAAGACATTGAAATGGTTTTTAAAGAAATGGCTTATGACTAGTTTCTTGTATCCATTTTTTAATAAAGTAACATCTCACTTTACACCATGATTAAACTAACTAGTGTATTAGTGACATATTTATTTTGGATGCCACAGAAAACATCCACAAATGAGTGCCTTTACCCTAACCCTAACCCAGCCCTTGGCTGTACCTAACCTTTCCATTAGCATTAACCCTTAGAGGAGACAATCCTAAGTATAAATCAGTTGCTGTGTTCTTCTTCCTAATCATTTCCCAATCCATAATTTAGTCTTGAAATTTCTCATTTGTGGTCATTTTCTGTTGACCCCATATATTTTTATAAATTATATCTGAAGGAACTTTACAAAGACTTCTATTTCATAGAAAGTAAAATATTAGACTGCAACAGATATGGCCACAATAAAATTGGCAAAGGAGCAAAGAAACATGTTGAAAATTTGAAGTTGTATTTGTGTGAGTAATTTGCCCAATTGGTAAATGATTGGAAAGGAGAAATGAAGTTGTAATGAGTTTTACTTGTTGTTTTGTCTCTTTCAAAATTAAGTTTCTCATGATCAACTTCTCTTTAAGAATTTTTTAGTTAATGATTAAAGAACAAATTCGCCCTGCACAATCAATCAGCAGGTCGAGAAAGACACTGTAAAAAATTGGAACCTTATTCAAAATGAATAAATATAAAAAATAACCACGTTATAAATAACTGTTGTCATGATAAAATCAACAGAAACTGTCATTTTGAAATAATAATATGGTTAGCATGGCTTTGAAAAGTGAACATTTAAAGTTCTTAGTGTTTTACACTTTAGCTACACTTCCAATAGCTTTAAATGTCATATGTCTACTTTATGGATGCTTTATCAACACAAATCTGATTTTGGTTGATCAAGCAAAAAAGCTGAGAGAAATGGTAGCTGAACAATATAATACAACAGATGTTGTTAACAATTGTATTGAATACAAAGATCTAAAAGGGTAATAAATATGGAGATTGAAAGGTTAAGGGCATTTCAATTTGATTTTATATTTTCATTTTTCAGCGAAATCTTGAAAATTATGATTGTTATCGCAAGTGTTCAAGCGATTCTATATTTCGAAACTTGTACTGGAATAAAAAAGAAAAAATCTTTTCAAATTTCACTAGTTTTTATTAAACTAACAAATTGTTTAGCAATACCAATAAGTTTTAAATATTTCCACCAAAAAGACTTTATTCTATGGATTGGTATTGCAAAATTCTGCTTCTATTTTTTTGCTGTAGATCTAGCATCATTTCTGCTAATAATCGTCTCTTCCTTCTTGATAATCCATTTCAGAATCATTGTGTATCATTGTTTTAATAGGAGAAAATTAATATTCAATTGTCTTTGCTTATTGAATGCATTAATAATTTTCTGTAAAGTTATGGCCATGGACATTACTTCAATAGGCCTAACTTTTGGAGGTGACTGCAATGTAACATATATTGTCAGCAGTTCAAATATTACAGTCACGTCTTATCATAATCCATATATAAAAGGATTGGAACTGGCATGTTATCTATTATATTTTTCACTTAACCCCAACAGGATGTTGTTTTCAACAACAATAAATGCAATGATTATGGTACTAACATTATCCTTACTAATTTCAATTTACTGTATTTTTAATGACATATTTAAAAAATCAGTAATTTTTTTAAAGGTTATGTTGTCATCACTTGTAGCTGCACTTTGTATCTTGGTTATATTTTATTTCAACTTTAGTTCACTATTTCAACAATCTTTTGAAATTAAACTGTCTTTTATAGGTTTTTTTATATTGCTTCAAGTTTTTTGCTTTTCATATCCTCTAATTTGTATACATGTTATTATGGATTCTTCCAAAAAAATGTTAATGGATAAGTATGTTTTACTTTTTTTTTTGCTTCTAATTTAACTTAATTTGCTGTTTTTTTGCAACAGAAACTCTCTTTTCTACACAATTAAACAATTGATTGATAGTAAGAAGCCTACATTGAAAAAGAGTGAAATGACTGCAGAATGCCATTTGAATAACCAAAGTATTGATATGAATTATGATATGCCACTAATTGAAAACAAATAAAAAACAATGAATACTTGTTTGGCATTTGTTTGTTTAATGTATATATTTACTTTTCATAACACTGAAATTAGTTTTATATTTAATACAATAATAAGTTTTTCTTAAACATGCTAATTCTGGTGTCAAGGTTATATCATACATCATAAGTTTCAGCACAATATTCTATAACTTACTGATATCAATTCTAAAGCTTGTGTTTTGTCTGATGGTTTTCAGTAGTGAAATACTGCAAAAAATTCTGAAAAATTGTAGATGAAATATGCACAATATTCACTTTCCATGAAAAACATGGAAGATCCCAGAACTGTTTCCTGTCTGGATTTCAAAATGGCTACAAAAAGTGATTGCATTATGGGAATGTATTGGATATATCTCAAAATCAATAATAATTTAAATTTGAAAAAGTATTTTGTAATATTTTCTTCACATAGTGGACGTTTTCTCCAGTGGATGTTTTCTCCAGCCAGTGGATGTTTTCTCCAATAAGTGGACGTTTTCTCCAGGAGACATTTTCTCCACTGGATGTTTTCTCCATAATTCATGAATTCAGTTTCTATATATAATGGTAACATAGGCATTCAATGTACCATTTCAAAAATTACTGGGAAACTGGTAAAACTTTCAGGGTGACCAGAATTGTACTGAGAGCAAGCCTTTTACTTATTCAACAAAACATGACTGTCCTGCAGGTTAATTCAAAAATATTCTCTATTATCTTCTTTCCCATTCATTTACTCTTTGATGTTTGAACAGCTGACTGAAATGAAAATGGCGAACCACATTTTTCGCAAAATGTTGCAATTTGTTATGAAGTTATTGGAAAAAGTGGTCAACACATTTGAATTGAAAATTCAAAAAAAAAAAAAAATGACTTTAACAACTTCTATCTACTCTTTAGGCAATGGCATTTTTTAGACACTCCAAAAGGAATATTTGGTGTTGGAAGAGAATACTTCAGAGTATTTGGAAAAGAACTTTATTTCAAAGAAATAAAAAAATCATCTTGCTTTAATTTGATCAGTGGTTTCTTGTTATTATTTTGAGAGGAGAACAAATGTTATTGTTCCTATATTAATATTAGGCAGCTTTCTTTATCCATTCATAATTTGTTCTTGTTCTTTGAATTGCACGCCACTATTTGTTTCTTGTTTAGCCTAAAATATCCACTAGATGTCTATAAAGACCTCCTCGATTTCTGATATGTGTTAATTGCCATTCTGCAAAAATTATTACATATTTTAAATTGAAAAGAAAAAATAATCAAAATCTTGTGCTAAAATCTTTATGTTAAAACCACTGTTGGAAACTCTGCTAACAAGCACAAAATGGATATTTAAAACCATATTAGCAACCAAAGTAAATACATTGTAATTACTTACCAGAAAAATTGAGCTTTTGTAAGCTGATGTGAAATTGAAGAGTACATTTATCAAAAATAAAATTGTTACTCTCTCTAGTGAGTACTTTCAAAGTGAAAATGCTAATAATCACTAATTGAAAAACAAAATGGCTGCCAGCGGTTATTTTAACAAAAAAGAAGAAATTGAGTGTTGTATTTGCTTAAATTCTTGGCTAAATAGTGACCTAAAAGTTCTTCCATGTCAACATACTTTCTGCTTTCATTGTTTAAATCAACAACATATTCAAAACAATGTAATTACTTGTCCAGAATGTCAACAGGATTATACAGTAAAAGAGGAGGATAATACAAAATTACCAAAATATATTTTGAAAAATTCAGTTGAAAAATCAACAACAAATCAAAATTTATGTTTAATTCATCAGGAAAAAACAGTACTTTATTGTCCAACACACAATGTAGAAAATTTATGTCATATATGCTTTGAAGATAGTCATCAAAATTGCAAAATATTGACAATGCTAAGGCATGAAAGAATGAAAACTGATTTAAAAGTTATTTTAGAATATGAAGCTGAAATGACTAAAGAGATTTTAAAGAAAATTGATGATTGTAAAGGCAAAGCAATTCCAAGGCTTACAAATCAGTTTGATGAAATAAGGAATACATTTCTGAATATAAGTCAGGATAATTGAAATCTTTTAAAATCATTTTTAAAGGCTAGTGATGGTTTAAAGACAGCTATAGAGAGAATTAAAGATACTGATCTGGAAATTGTGGACAACTTTCAAGTCTTTTATAAAATTCTCAACATTACACAACTTTTTAATACTTTTCAACAGAAACAGCTGAATGAAACATAAGTAGAACTTTTAAATAATATAAAATCAATAAATACAAAGACATAAATTCATAATGTCAATTTATCAGAAAAGATCCTTAGTGATGGGGAATTAAAAAATTTCTGCTTGAACCTTCTATCAATAAATTGTCCTTTAAACATTAATTTTTCTCAGTGTAATTTGAATAAAAATACAAGCAGAACAATTGGAAATATGTTACAACTTTCTTCTAATGTGGAAGCAATAATTTTACAAGGTAATAAAAGAATGGAAAATGGATTTTTTACTCTTTGCAAAGGACTTTATCAATCATAGAACAGTTTAAAGACCATTGATTTTTTTTCTATATGTGAAGGGTGTCAACAATCATCAAACACTTTCAAAAGTTTTCATTTATCTGCATGTCATTTGAATGAAAAACAGAGTAAGAAATTTGGGAATTTATTAATTTTGTCCTAAAATTGAAGAAATAAATTTACATTGTAATCAACAAATGAAAACTGGATTTTTTAACATTTGCAATGGGCTTCAAAAGTCATCAAACATTTTGAAAAGTATTGATTTATCTGCATGTCATTTAAATGAAAAACAGAGTGAAAAATTTGGAGATTTACTTAAAAGATGCTCTAAAATAGAAACAATAAATTTACAATTAAACAAAGGAATGGGGAATGGATTTTTAGATATTTGTTTTTTTTGTGTATGTTTTAAGGAAAAGATATGCAACTTATTTTACTTTTTAGGGATGTTGTAGAATGGAAAAAACATTGGTATAATGTTTTCAATTGAAGAATTAAATCCTTACATAAAAATAATCCCTTTGAGAACAATTGACTATTTGGCATTAGAACTGGGTACCATATTAATTATTTTAAAAAACTTAGTTTGTAGTGTTTGAATTCAAATCGTACTGATAAATTTTCTCTGTTTCAAGATGAATTATATAACTATGATAGTAAGATTGATGAATGCGATAGAAAATATGGAATGAATTATGAAGTTTTACCCTAACCCTAACCAAGCCCTATTCCATCTTTCTCTTCCCTAAACTTTAGTTTAGACCTTCCTAACAACAAAACAATAGTTGATTTATATTTTTATTTGAACTTAGTATATAATTTTTGTTTGTTTTATGAAACAAATGCTTTTCATTTTGTTGATTAATTTCTACGGAAATTACATTTCTTAAGGCTACTTGTGGATGAATTTGAAAGGTTCTATTTGTGTGAGTACTTTGGTGCATTGATAAATGTTTGGAAAAGATGAATACTGTTCTGAAGAAGCAGAAATTCCTACCATTACAATACAACAAAGTATATCTGATTCAATCAGTTTGATTTGTAGAGGTGAATTTAAACAGTAGGCTTCTAAACTTCAATACCAGCTTTACTCAGCTATATAACTTCAGGAAAAATCCTTGCCTGACCAAAGGTGGACCCAAACCCAAAACCTACTTCATTCAATAGCCAATACTTAAAAGTTAATATGGAAAAAATTTTCTATTAGCATTTAAAAACACAATTTCCAGGATGACACTTCAAAAGAAAATTATTTATTTCAAAATTTTTACTATTCTTTATCTATTAAAAATGACTGTTGCTTCGCAGAATTTTGCATCATTATCAGGGTATTCTTGGTATTCCTTTACAATTTGTAAATGACGAATTGCTCCAAATTTACATCTATATTTGCACAGTTTAATAGAGAATTGATCTGGATTTTCGAAACTATGAAAAGGACATTGGCACAGTGATAGACTACCACAATTTTCAGTATTATCCTCCTTATAAACCATAATATCTTGACAATCAAATGGATAATTATTCTCTTTAAACCATAGGTTAACTTCAATAGAACTACTTTCCAAATTATTTGGATCAATTGAAATTCTATTAAAATGAATGTTTGATGAACAAGTTTGTAAATTATGATCAACAATTTCTTGATTGTTTGATTGAAGGAAATTTTTTTTATAAAAACAACCTATTCTACCAACTGTTAAATCAACTTGTGACATTTCACTACTTTCAAATTGTTTACTGACACAAATTTTTAACAGTGGTAAATCATTTATTGGTAAATTGATAAGCCCATAATAACTTCCATTAAAGTTATTTGTACATTTACATTTTAAAGCTGGATATTTAAAGCATTTTCCATTTTCATCTAAAAACTTTAGAGTTTTATTATTTGATGCAAATAATAATCCTTCAATATTTTCTGATTTATAATTTGAACAGTCAATACCTATGTATTGAGTGCAATAATAGCTGTTGGCTGCCAAGTGATGTTTGTATTTTCTAAAAAATGAATTGCTTGGGCTGCAATGAAGAAATAGCAAAGTTTGAAACAAAATGGAAGATTAAATTATTTAAAGTTTCACCTGATAATTTGGTGATCTACAGAACATTCGTCAGTTGTTGTTGGTGTATAGGTTCTTTTTCCTAGACCTTCTAATGTCAAATCAGATGATTTTATAAAATTTCCAAAAGATTCGCAAAGAACTATAATAGGTTTTGGTTTAAGACCAATTGCTTTAATTTCATATAAACCAAGAAATACTTGATTATCGCTCTTATAAAATAGAAATCTGAGAAAGTTTGTCTTCAATTCCGTTTGTAATGATGTAAACAAACTAGTTTTATTTACAATCATTTCAATTAATCTCTCATCAGATTTGATGATAATAGAATCAATTTCATTTTCAATTGGTTGTTTTACAATAATCTGTTCAATTGAGTACCTGTCATAAAAATTTATTTGAATAAATATGTTTTTATCAGTTGCCAATGGTTTCCACATTTCATCAATATAAATAATAGAGTCTTTTATAGCTAATTTACAATTACCAGTTGATGATTGGCAAGTTGAACCACTTTCAATTTTTGAAATATCTAATGATATCCAATTATCAATTATATATAAAAAGACAGAGGACGCCACAAGTTGTGATTGATTAAACCATTCGGAACACGATAGAAAATATTTATTCAAACCAAGAATTTGAATTTCTCCAATTTCTAGATCATTGTAATCTGATTCACTTACTTTTACATAGATTCTATGTATAGATGTTAAATTAGAAAATTCAATTTCATTCCAGCCATTTGTAAAATTATGCTCTAAAACATAATCTTCGGTATTGTCTGAAAATGTTATTGTAAAATTCAACTTTTCCTGTCCATTACGTAATTTCAGAAGACGTATCATGTGTAATTTAAAATTTTCACTATGCTCAATTTGAAACCAAAAATTAACTTGGCTTATATTTTCTTTATTAGGATCAGACTTGAATTTCAAAGCTGTTCCATCATATAAATTATTAAATTCATGTAGTCCATAATGAATAGATCCGCTTTTGCGAATAATGTCCTGTGACGATAATAGATTTACGTAATCTTCATAAAATCCATTGATTAACGGTATAAACAGTATTATCACACCAAAAAAGATATTTTTTATCATATACATTTTGTTCAAAGAGAGAAAATTTTCCAACTAATAAAAAGTTTTCTCATGTTCAAACAAAATAAAGATAATCGATGTTTTCAATTTCTGAGAATAAATAACACATCAACAATTTATTATTTATGAAAATATCCATATTTTTCTTGTCAATTTCTTATTTGTTCTATTGATCTAGTTAGTGTAAATAGACATGGAGTAATAATTTTATCTCTTCTTTTCAGGAGTTTACTTGAATAATTCATGATGAGAGTCAATAGAAATTCAATTTTTTCAATATTTTTTTGTGAATTAAGTCTCAAAAGAAATTGATTATCATATTTTGTTTCATTATTATATTTACTTTTTTGTTTGTCTCCACAAGTCATTGACAAATATCCATAAATTGACAAAGATCATCTAAAAATTGTATGTTGTTGCATTTTAATTGTAGGAAATTCTGGCTCTTACATACTGTTTTTTTTAGTAATTTAAATGCTGGAAACAGCACATTTCGGTAGTGAATTTAAAAATTTTTTATTTCTATAATTAACCTTCACCTTTGAAGCAATATAGACTAGTTAATTTGGTTCTATTTCGACCAGTACTTACCTACAACCTCAGCAGGAAAGTAAACTGCATTATCATAATTTACTTTATGCCATTCAAGTTTCCCTCTTCTTATTTGTGTTGATCTTGTTAAAGATACAATAATTGAAGGATTTTTATTCAGATTACAAGGAGGATTCAAACATAATTGCATATCAATTGAATTTCCTGGACATTCAACTCCTCCATTGGATGGTGGAGGATTTATACAACTTCTTGTTCTTGTTTTTAAACCATCACCACAATTTGGATTACATCCACTCCATTCAGATCATTTGGACCATCCTCCTGCTATAGGATACTTAGAATCTTCAGCAGCAACACATATTCTAGTTGTACAGTTACAAACATTTAATGTTGCACCAAAGAAAAAACCAGATGGACATTGCTGTGGCAAAGCAACACCATTGTAACAATGATGGAATTGCCTACAATCATTTTTGTTAGGGAATGTTCCATTTTGACCTCCTTCACAATCACATTCTGTATATAGCAAGACTGTTGAAGTGTATATGGAGAAAAGTCAGAATTAAGTAGGCAAACAAATTGAGAAAAATTCCATTCAATCAATAACAACACTGTAAAATAAATATAATTAAATGATAAATTCAAAACATTGAAAAAAAAATTATTAACAGAAAAGAAGAGAAAATATTAATTTCATTTTTCTTGTCACAGATACTTTTTACACTTTTGAAATAAAAATGAATTTTGGTTGAGAATGATAAAAATCAGATGACAGATGACACATTTCAAGGAGATGCATTTCTATTATAAAGAATATTATAAAGAATATTTGCTATTTGCAACCTAGCATTAATATTACAATTTATTAATCCATAAATTTATGATTTTCAACTAAAACTAGTTGAATTAATTATCAATTATGCTTCAATTCTAAGTTTAGATTATATTCACTATTCAACAGTATGGTATACACAATACTGTTCTTCTTAACATGCATTAATCAGATATACTTCCTCCTTATATGCTGATGCTAAATTTACTAACTCAATCAATTCAATATCATTATTAAGGTAGAATATAAAAACGGTCAAATATACAATCTACATGTTTTCTTCATTGTTACATCTTATGCAACTCTCCAACCTGAGAAATTCAACTATTATTTAGAAGAGGAAAACAATAAAAACATGACCATATTTAGAACTTTTCTTTGTCTTCAAATGTTACTTTTGTTTTTGTGAACATTGAAATTTGTGAACTATCAACCCTTAAAAGAGTATATAAACCCTACGAAATTAACAGTTGACAGTTCACTTTTCTAACCATCAGCTAGTTGTTTAAACTAGCTTGTTTAGAACTAGAAGCTCATTTTACTCAATACATATTCTTTGGACAAAATACTGGTGTTTTGTTAATTAATTTCTACCGAAATTGCCTTTGTTAGCCTATTTGTGGACGAACTTTAAAGGTTCTATTTGGACCAGTACTTTGGCAAGTTGGTAAATGATTGGAAAGGACGATTATAGGTGTGACGAACCAGAAATTCCTACAATTACAATACAACAAAGTACAACAAAGTTTGTTCCTCATTGATGGATGCTTGCTGTACATTTTCTCTTTTTATTTCTGACAGAACAGGTCCATACTGTAGTTGTTTTTGTTTTTAATTTTATATTATAGGAATACTCTTTGTGTAAAAGTAAATCTTTTCCTTTTTGACTTCCATTTTGTAGAATTTTAAAATGAAAATCATTAAAAGAATTTTCTTTAACAGATGTTTCACTTTCAAAAGATTCTTCCTCAATTTGTTCAGATGCTATATTTGAATTTTGATTTGTTTGAACATGATCAACTTCAATTTCATTATTAAATTTAATATCACTTCCATTTATGATATTTTCCAAATTATCAATTTCTTCATTTTGCATTGCCTTTGGATTGTCATCATGACTGTCATTGGTACTCCATGATAAGGATAATCTCAACTCATCTGTGAACTCTTCAGTACTACTTTGTTGTTCTTGATTATTCTCTCTTTTCTCCTCAATATTCTTTTCCAGAATTCTTTCTTCTTCCTCTTTCAGTTTTACCATAAAATTGATGTTTTTTACTTCACTTACTGCACTTTCCATGCGTTTTTCTGGCTCATCAACTCTCTTTATCATCACCAAACAAGTTCCTTTTCATATTTTAAAACAACTTAAGGAGAATGGTGACTCTGTTGCTGAATCTTGAAAAAAATAAATAATATATAGGTTTGAAAAAAACATAATACAAACCTTTCAAACATTTTATATGACAAAGGTGGGAGCACAAAGAGCATTTTCCTTTAATTTGCTTACCAACAAATTTTTGATTGCAAAGAGAACAATTTTCCATCACTAATTATTGTTTATAAAATACTGAGAGAAAGGAACTGCAAAATTATTACAAACAAGTCATTGATTATCCATGTGGAATATGGTATTTTGAGAAAAACATTCAAAAATATTCACAAAATGTTTAAAATTGTTATATTTATGTTATGGGAAATTATTAATTAAATAATCAGTCAGTTTTGTTATCACAACAATTAAAAAGAACAATACAAACTTGAAAAATTAAAAATTTCACATTACCTCAAGTGAGTGAAAATAGAAAAGGAAGTTGACAGTTCATAACTTTTTTCCTGAAGATTTCCTAACAAATACCAGTTTTTGTCAAAAAAATATTTATTTCTTACAATTTTTTTATTATTAATATCTATCTATTTAATTTTATTTAAATTAATATTTTTATTCATGTACATTTTCTGTCAGTTTATGGACGTTTTCTGTCAGTTAATGGACGTTTTCTGTCACATCCTGTTATATTGTATGGTTATCTACAATTTTCTAAAGAGCATCTATATTAAACTGAAGTGCACACAGACAGTTACTGTTTATGCTGAGAAGGAAATTCTAATTATCATGACATGATAATGTACAAACTTTGAAACAACTCTATTTAGGCTAATGTTAATTGGTTATTTATTTTCAAAATTCAGTCAAAAATATTATTAATTGCTTTCATCAGAAATTTTACTGTAGACTTAAAATTTAGGAGCCATGCAATCATTTATGCATGTAGCAAAAAGCTTTACACTGCTATCCTTATCTCTGCATTGTTTCCGACAATTATAGAGCTGAAAACAAAGGTTCAGTTTCTTTTATGAATACCTAAGGTAACTTACTTTTAGTCCATAGCTTTTTGCAATCAAATTTTCCATATTCAACTCATTTTGAAGCATGCTTTCTAATTGCTCTCTCTTTTCCATTTCTTTCAAAAATGATCTAAAACTGCTTTCAGACAATGGTAATGACAAAGGGGGTCAGGACAAAACGTCCCTGGGAAAAAACGTCCCAGGGTGGGAAAAAACGTTCTAATTGTTGGGGAAAAACATCCTAATTGTTGGGAAAAAATGTCCTAAAGCTTGGGAAAAAACTTCCTATGCCTGGCTAAAGATATACTTGGCATAATTATTGATACTTATAATCAGAAATGTTTTTCTCTTTTGCTGTTTACTTCATTTATAGAATAAAATATTAATATTTTTGAAGAAAGGTATATGTATTGTGATGTTTTTACCAGTTTTCTCTGAATTATGTAATGCTATTAAAAGAGAAATGAATTATTTCCTTGTATTGTCTGTAAGTGAAAGATAAATTTTGCAGTTCTTGGCATATTTTCAGGCTAATTTGTTTTTTAAGCATTGAAACTCTTGTATTGATTTGGTTTTTTTGAATATTACAAGATTATACATTTTTTTAAGAACCCTTCTCTCCTGTCAGTTATTATTTATAATTTTTGTATTGGCAGCCATATTTGATATTTGAAAGTTAATTTATTTTTACAGAAACATTGAAAGTACTTGGATTAAGCATTCAATTTGGACACCAAATTGTTAGTCTGTATTTGGTCTTGCCATCAGCACCAACAATGATGTTGAAGAATGGCACAGAAGAATAAATGAAAATACTCCTGCAAAAGGGTCATTTTATATGCTCATAGATATTTTAAAACAGGAATCAAGTCTTATTCCAGTTGTAGAGAAACTTCTATCAGAAAAAAGGCTAAAGAAGTATCAGAAGAAAAGTGTCATCCAGAAGCAGAACCAAGTATTTGCTGTTTGGGATGAATACAGATTGGGAATGGTTACATCTGCTGTCCTCTTGCAGAAGATTGCATTAATCTATTCAAAATAATTCTCAGTGTCTTAGCATAATTTTTACTTTATTCTAGTAACTTTTAAACTTTGTATAACATTCTTAGCTTTTTTCATTTTTAATACATTTTAATAAACATATATTCATTATTAATTATTATATTCTCAGTATATTGTCATTGGTTCCCAAAATAGAGCAATCTTTTTAAAATTCAAATATCTTTTCCCACTACTTGTTTTTCCCAACCTTGAGACATTTTTTCCCAACC